CTGAGGAGGTGGAGCAGGTGTAGATGCCTGAGAAGGAACTGTCGAAGTTTGGGTACCAGCGGCCGGCGTCTGCACCAGCGCTTGAGCATGGACCTGGATTTCTGTCGGAGGCACGGTACTGCTGGTCATTTGTGCAAAGGCACTCGAAGAGACCGCCGAGCTGGAGTGAAGGGCTGTCGCTCGCATAGCATTAAAGAGAAGCATAGTATTTTGCTGCCGCTTCCCGTTCCCATCTGCAGGGTTGGTGCTGTCGTCAGGCATAGGTGTATTCGCGCCCGTGAGGTCATCCGCAGCAGGTTTCTTCGCTGTCTCGTCGAGTGATGGATCTGTGATTGGCCAGACAAACCCCGTTCGGGGCGTATAATCAGGACGGTGGGAACGGAGAATGTCCAGAGATGTTTGTAACGAGGTTAAGGAGGTCAGCTGTAGATTGCTTAACAATTATTGCAGAAATGAAAGGAGATAACTGACCAATCGGTTGGATAATACGGTGTACAGGTCAGGCGACTGGTAGATTCGGTTGTTGATGATAAAATACGCCGACAGCGGTATCACTGAGATGCGTCACTTGGGAAAGGAGTGAAGGCCTAGCAACGTACCTTCTTCGGGTGAGAGTCTTTCACGCTTCTGTATGATGAAAAAAGAGGGTGGTTGAGCATGAACGACGGCGAATTCGACGCCAGTGAACCGCCTGCAAAAAGGCGCATGAGTATATGCCACCGACATCACAGTTCCAGCACGTACTTGAGCTCCTCCGCCTCGTTCATCACGGCCACGTCAGTATGCATCGTCTGCATGCGCAGCACCTGGTTATTGCTCTGCTTGTCGTAAAACATGGACGTGGCGAAGTATTCAAACACGTTGTCGCTGGTGAGCGGTCCATTGGCCTGTCGCGAGACTCAGCGAGGAAGGGGCACAGCGAGCACAGGCGGACCTGTATCCATTCGTGCCAGATGAAGAACCGATGGCTGTAGTCGTCCGGGGGATGGAGGTCGTTGATGTCCATGGCTGTCCAAATTAGGAAGCGCGTCTCCTGCCTTTGTCGATCCGGTCTGCCGGTACTTAATACCCTCAAGTCGGGTTCCTCTGTCCTGTTCCGCTGTGCTGGGTTGCTTTTTTACTTATTACCTGCTTGTGCTCGTTGCTATGCCTTGTGCTTCCCCCGGTGCTGCATATCTGTTCTCTGATGCCTTCGCTGCAGTTTCCTCGTTTCTGGCAGACTATACTGTACCACGTCAAAACTCACGTAGGCATAGGCATAGTATGTGCCGTAGCCTATTTCGATCCGTGAGTGTTTTGTTCTTTTTATTCTCCTTCCTTGGCTGACGTGTTCCAGTGGCAATTGGAGTGTTGATCTCCAGGCAGGCTCGAGTTTTGGCTACAGGCCGATGCTGTTTGTCATTCTCATGGCCGGTTTGGGCGCTATTGTCCTACAAGTGCCGCCTCTTTCATCTTAAAGGAATCTGGCAATTGATGCGGTCTTTAGACACTGTCCTGTAAACTGGGGTGCGTGACAGGCCTTGACCTGGCAGCCCACTGCAGGCTCCTCTTGCACGATCATCCTAAGCATCCTCTTCTCGTTCGGCGCCTAGTCCTCTACCCTTTATACGTTCTCTCAGAGGTAGCCATTATCGCCACCGACCTTGCAGAGCTCTTAGGATCCGCCATTGGAATCTGTCTCATCTTTCCATCCCTCCCACTCTGGGCGGGAGTGGTCATCACGGCTCTTGATGTCTTTGTCTTTCTCCTCATCTCTGATCCTACCCGCAAGCATAGCCGTCTGTTTGAAGTGGCCGTTATCGCTCTGGTCATGTCGGTGTTCGCTTGCTTCATTGTGCTTATTGTTAAAGTCAAGCCTGATTGGCCGGGAGTGTTTATGGGGTATATACCTTCCAAAGCACTCTTCAAATCCAACCCGGATGCCGTCTACTCAGGTATACAAATTCCTCGGCGTTTGTACTTCCGCTAACCATGAAAACCAGCCGTTGGAATTCTTGGTGCAACAGTCATGCCGCACGCTCTCTTCCTAGGCTCTTTCATGGCGACTCAGGACCGGCACTCACCCCCTCCGCATCCAGATCAGGTCACTGAACCCGACCTCCCTCTATACAACCTTTCTTCACGCGTTAAGAAGGGAATTAAAGAGCTTTTCGCAGTGTCTACTGCGGACACAGACATCCGCATCGTAGAGGTGAAGAGAGAAAACCACTCTCCGGCATTCATACGACAGCACCTCAAGCATGAAATGGTAGACGTCATCTCAAGTTTACTACTTCTGGCTGTCCCGATTAATTCGGCGTACGTCTCTTTCAAATCCGAATTCTGTAAGCCATTGACGAGAGACGGTGGCTTAGTATTTTAGTTATGGCCGCTACAGTATTTTATTATGTCCCCGAGGATACAGATGACATTACCGTAGCCGGTCTCTTTGATGCCCACGATTTGATAAAAGCGAGGATCGGCAAGGGTATACGGTTTGAATTATTAAGACAAAAATAGTGCCTAATTTCTTTAAACCTAGGCGCCGCCTTTGTATTTGCCCTTGCCCTGATTTTGGCAGGACAGACGTCGGGGATAACAGCTACTCTTGCGGGCCAGATTGTGTCGCAAGGATTCATCAACTGGCGTGTGTCGCCGTTCCTTCGGCGTCTGCTTACCCGTGCGCTCGCACTGGTGCCATCAGTCGTTGTAGCCGTTGCTGTGGGTCGTGCGGGTATCGACAGTCTCCTTGTCGTTTCTCAGGTAATCCTGAGCGTTGTCCTGCCGTTCGTGGCGTTCCCGCTCATCTGGCTCACATCCTCGAGGCGCGTCATGCGCGTGGAGGGCGGACAAGACCATAGCAACGGGTGGATCTTGGCCGTCGTGGCGTATGGAATATGGGGAGTAGTTCTGGTCGCTAATTCATATGCCGTGGTGTCTTGGGGCAGCCTGACGTGAAATTAGGGCCGGGTACCGCATGTCTGGACTTTAGTTGGCCGTGCATCGATTGTATCGTACTAAGCATGTTTTAAAATTTAGTGTGCGCGAATCCGGAATGTTCTTTGCGGCGTGAAGAGACGAGACGTGTTTCTCCCTTGCCAAGAAAGAGAAGAGAAGAGAAGCAAGGAGAAACATTGGGCCTGACATGCACCTACCGACACCCACAGGACTGAAACAGTGATACCTAAGGATACTTAGTGATACTTGCAGAACTAAAAAGCGCGAGGCACCGGAGCGAGAGCAACGTGTTTTCATAACGATCATTTGATATTACATTCTGTAGACGGAGAAAAAACTAAGCGAGCTGAGATTTCCGGAAGATTATATTTAGATACTATGCGAAATAAGTGATTTAAAAATCAATTCGAGACCAAGTCCGTCACTGGGCCACGAGGCGGTACGAAGATTGGTTCGGTCGAAAAGCGCACGGCGTGCAGGATGTCAGGCGACATGGGGGTTGGACAAGCCAAGCTGGAGCAGGATTGAGGACATGATGGTGAACAGAGGGGAGAGGACACACATAGATTTAGACGGGATCATTATTTAAAACTCTACTTGATCTCCGCGCAGTCGCACTGGGCGCTGCGGCCAACTGCGCCCTTGCCACAGACGTCACACCAGGATCTATTTCCCTGTTCGACGCCGATGGAATTTTTGGACGAGTTGGAATGGTGGGAGCTGGCGACAGACTCGTCGCGATGGATAGAGATGATGTGACGGCCAAGATCGTGCTTCCTGGAAAAGGAGCGGCCACACGAGCGGTGGGGGCAGACGTGTGGCTTGAGACGGTTAGGATCATGAGTGGCCATGTGAGTTTTGAGGTTGTAGGCCCTGGCAAAGGCTGCAGAGAGCGAGGTTAGCAGAGAGAGAAGGAACGAAGGGAGAGCTACTTGCCTCTTGGACACGAAGGACACTGGTATTTTTTGCGAGGGTCCTGTTTGTGGTCATCGACGCGGATTGGGGGGACATTGGGCACCACCGGAAGCTGCGTCGAGATATGCGACGGCGACACGGTGGCCTGGCCCATGCTGTAGTAGTAGCCAGCGGACCTGGACGGCGGTCCGTAGTCCGAGTAGCTGGTGCGAGCTACGTACTGCTTCGCAGCCGCAGAGGGCGGCGAAAGGGGTGGGGTCGGGGGCAAGGAGCCGAAGGAATTGGGGTCGACATTGGCAGGAGAATAGTCGCTGAGGGCGTCGACTCTGATCCGTTGAAAGTCCATCTCAAGGTCTAGGGGAAAGGAGTAGTTGGAGGCAGGGTACTCATATGCAGAGTCGTAGGAGCTCTCATAGGCTGAGCTCCGTGCTGAGCTCTCCGTGATTGCAGAAGGGGGTCCCCGTGTAGGCGTGTCCGATCGCAGAAACGAGTAGGCGTCGTTCGAGTCGACCGTGAGCAGCTGCAACTGCGCCTGGTCGATTCCAGCGAGACTCGAGTCAAGCTCGCTCTCGAAGAGGTCAGGATGGGGTGCTACAACGTCCAAGGGCGCTGCAAAGGAAAGAAAATCAAGGCCCTGCTGGGTATTGGGCTTGGAATAGTCAAAGTTGTCGAAAGTAAAAGCGGAGGCCATCGTTGCTGCGGACGTGGTGGGGGTCGAAAGCTAACAATCTATGAAATGTCATTGCCAAATATGACTGCTGCGCTTTCGCTTAGTCATCTCTCTCACGTCCACTTGCACTGCCCGTGTTTCCACCTATTCTCGACCATCCTTTTACTGCGTGCTGCTGCGATCTCAGCGCTTACCTCGTCCTTTCTCATTGCTTACTGACACTGTTCTCTCGTCCTTTTGGCCTCTGTCTTTTCCTTTTTTTACCCTTAGTCTGTCCCGGTCTCCGATAGTTCGCACCGGCTCGGCGGCCATATATCCGACCGTCAGCTCGCATTAGTCCGCCTTGTCGCATTCATTTTTACCGCCAGTGTCTTTTCAGTGGGCCCCGTTGCCATGCTCTTGGGCCGCCTGATCCGTCTTCACGCCGGTTCCTGAAATGATTCGCGTCCCTCTGCCGCGCCCTGGACCGATTATCACGGCTCCGCCTAGCTCAATCGGATAGAGCGTCAGACTCTTAGGATGTCCAAGGCGGCGGGATCAGATCTGAAGGCTGCGAGTTCGACCCTCGCGGTGGGCTACTGAGTGAGTTTTTGTCCAAGGTAATGACTGACTCCGGAAGTCCAAGATTGACTTGGTCTACTGTGATTGGGCGCCGCGGGTAATTCGAACTGATTTCCTGTTGTCTGTTTTGTTCCTCGGCAAGTAGACCTTTCCGTTCGAACTGAACCCAAAATGTCCTGTAACATGCAAATCTTAGCCGTCGGTGCCTGCATCTGACAGTCCCCGTCATAACAACGTAGGAATACACTTTCAAAGACATACCGAAATGGCGACTTGACCTTGGATGTCCAGCTCTTGGGCTAGGTCCTGGACATCACAGACGTGCGTTGACCGGACTCGGACCGTCCCCCGGATGTCTACCGTTTAAACGTCGCTCCTTTCTCAAGTCGTTCTAATTTTTGTGGCTTTAACAGCGGCTTTACTTACCGGTCAATACCGTCGAAAATCTAGTGCGGGCCTTCTTGCAATTCTTTTGTTTACTCCACCTATTAGAGGCCCTGGGTGGGACGAACGGTATATCCTGTGCGCCCCGATCGTCGATAAGCCCCCCAAAAATATGAGGTTCGTTGGCCACCCGTGGTGGTTAAGTGCGTAAATTCCGGAACTAGGGCCGGTATACCTTCAACAGCAACTTAGCTTCGACGACGTAACTTACCTGGCCTGAGATTTAAATGTCGCGCCAGTTCTAGAAACCATAACGCCAATAATAAAAGGTTATTGCTCATTTGTCGGAAATTCATTTGCAGTAATGGTCATAATTGATAAGTAACAGGCGAGGACCTGCCTGAGCACTTGGCTCGCGGAATCTAAGTTTCCATTTCTATACACCGAAGGTAATCCGGTAAATTACCTCCCGCTGGGAGAGAATTTTTGTCGAGGTAACTATGTAGCTGCCAGTCAGGCATAAGACTCAGTCCAACTAAGTGTATTTGCTACATGAATGAAAGCTCTTAGGATAAAGAACAGGTGTAAAAAACGTGAAAAAGGCAATTGCAGCGCGCCGGTCATTTAGGTAAGTAACGGTATAAAACACCCCTTAGGGAATTGCCAGGAAAAAATAGTAATTTACACGGTTTCAACTTTCGGTCAAAGTTCAATTCTGGAGTCTAGAGTTTAGACTCCGCAGAGCAGTAATCATCAATGATCAGACCTCTGAGATTCTGAGCCTTGAGGTGACAGGTCTCCTTAATTAAAAGCTTAGCGAATGTTTTCCAAGGCAAAATGACTAGCCCACCGCGAGGGTCGAACTCGCAGCCTTCAGATATTATTCCGGACCGGTGACTCCGCCGTAAAAGTCTGACGCTCTATCCGATTGAGCTAGGCGGGCCATGAACATGGTGAACTCGTGCAATACATATCGTACGGTTTCAGAGATGAACGGGTACGCATCCAAACGAATATGGGACACGAGAGATCGCGTCGGTACTTATGCACTAGCACTAATTATCCATTTATCAGGGCGTTGAATTCAAAAAGTGGAACCTGAAGTTATTGCAACGGTCCCATTTCAGCATGCCCACACTTCCTTGGCCAATGGCGACACCCCCGATCAATGTGAAAAGACTGTTCGCGCGATTCCGTGTCTCATCCCATCCGAAATTGTACGGATATCATTAACGTAGATCTTCAGCGTCACCCCGGACAGTGCACCAGCCATATCCATGATGATTCTCCTCGCCTTTGGATCGCTACAAAACACCCGGGTCCTCCACATTGGGACATAAATCTCTTTCGCGTTAGCCGGAAGGGAAATGAATCCAACATGAGCTTTGTGTAACCCACATAAGAGGTTTCTAGGTGTGAGATCAGGGAAACGTAAGTCATTTTCTATGTCCATTTCTAGGACATCCATCAGTAGGTAGATAGGAAGATACATTTTTCATCGTTATCGACAAAGACAAGATATGCGTAGCGTCGTTCGCCCTTCCATAAACTTCCTGGGATGGCGGTTTTCGCCTGAGGAGAGCTGCATTGGCGGGAACGGGTGGAGCCACGCGCAATGCACTGAGAGTCCGGTGATACGCTCTTCCTGAATGCAACCTGGACCATATCCAGCAGTGTGCGTTCGACAGAGGGAGAGGGAAACGCTACGTTGAGCATCGACGCAGGTTTGAGGAAGATGTTGTCGAACACATTTGCCTCGTAGTTAAGCCAGGAATCTTCGGTTGTGAGAAAACAATGGAAAGAGTAATATTTGGAGGGCGTGAATAGGATGCTGGAAGTAATGGAAGACAGGGGCAAGGTATCTGCAGGCGACACTCTCCAGATGCTATCACTGGACATACCAACACAAGAGTATACAGTCATATTCATCGCCAGGAGGTGATTTAACCGTTCCAGAGAGCGAACTGAGGTCCTTAACAGACAGAGCGACATAGCGGCGATGATTGCTACACAGTGTGATAGGGCCGTGAAATAGACTATGAAGGGAATAATGTCACAAGGCCACAAAGGCAAAGGCGGCGAGGAAATCGCGTATATATCTGCATGTCCATTGTCATGAATTGAATATGCCAGGTACGAGATGAAATCTGGAACCCCACACCAAACATTCGAATGCTTCAAATACCACACAGCTGGGGGTGCTAAATCGCAGACACTAAGAGGGTTTGAGGGCGATGGCTGTGTTGAAACGGCTTGCTGCTGACATAAACATCACGCGAAATGGCCTGCCCTAAAGCTTGTTATTGTGACTGAGCCCACTCATTTTTACCTCCTGCTTGGTCACTCACCCTCATCATGTCTGGCTTTGACGCGAACAATGTCTACAACGTCTCCGTCCATGACCCACCACCACCGACCGCGCCAGAGTCGGCTTCTGATACGGAGAAACTACTATTGGACTTCTTGCTGCAGTATCGCGTCGGGGGAGAATTCATCTACAGGTGCGCCAGTCAGTGCTGTTACTCGGAGTCTTTGGAGATTCACACTAGTACAGGGACATGCTTCGCGGGAATCTTCTTTTGAAGCAGAACGTTCTGGAAGTTGACCTTAGGCACGTCAGCCTCTACAACGACGAGCTGGCACATGCGATTCAGGATAGACCAGCAGATGTCTTGCCACTCGTACGTGATACTCTTCTGTTTTGTTGATCTATGCTTAGCTTGTACAGTTTGAAAACGCTGCTACTCGTGCCGCTAAAACCATCCTCTATCCTCTGGCCGGCACTGATGAGGCAGTCAATGCAGTCGCCGAGTCTATCGACAAAGTCCAGATAACTCTTCGCTCTGGCCTTAACCTCCTCCAATTCCGTGATCTCACCGCTAACACCATCAACAAACTCGTAAGGGTCCCAGGAATAGTCATCTCAGCTTCTGTCCTTTCATCCAGGGCGACGAAGCTACACATCCAGTGTCGCGCGTGTCGTTCTGTCAAGACTATATACCCGCCCGGGGGAATTGGAGGCCTTGGATATGGAACCGGGTCTGGATTGCCTCGGAGGTGCGAAGAGCCTCCACTTGACGGGCAGAAGAAAGACTGTCCATTGGATCCATATCTCATCATCCACTCAAAGTCCACCTTTGCTGACCAGCAGACACTGAAACTTCAAGAAGCGCCGGACATGGTGCCCGTTGGTGACCTGCCGAAGCATATGCTCCTTTCAGCGGACAGATACCTGACGGGGCAGGTTGTGCCTGGCTCAAGGGTTATCGTTACCGGCATATACTCGACCTTTCAAGCTGCACGGGATGTAAGTCTTTGATCTGATCCCTTGCATATGCATAACTTCTAACGTCATACTAGAAATCTGCCGGTGCTGCAGCTACTCGAAAGCCATACCTCCGTGTCGTCCACCTCGAAATGTCTTCCCCCTCTGCCGCTGGTTCAGGTGGTTCCAACCCGTTTGGTGTGCAGTTCACCCCAGAGGAGGAAGAAGAGTTCAATGAAATGGCGCGGAGTGAAGGTTTTTACGAACGCTTTGCCAAGAGTGTTGGGTCCCAGCATTTACGGGAGTCTTGGTATGTTACAACCTTTGGTCCCGAAAGCTCTTATATACTCATCCCATAACAGACATCAAAAAGGCTATTACCTGCCTCTTATTCGGAGGGTCAAAGAAAGTCCTACCGGACGGTATGCGACTTCGTGGGGATATAAATGTCTTGCTTCTTGGCGATCCCGGTACCGCAAAGAGTCAATTGCTCAAGTTCGTGGAAAAGGTGGCACCCATCGCTGTATACACATCTGGAAAGGGTTCTAGTGCTGCTGGTCTGACAGCGTCGGTGCAAAGGGATACAGTTTCGGTGCGTACCTGCTTGCTATCCCGAAGCTTGGCAGTTGGAGTAACCGCGGTTTAGAGAGAATTTTATCTTGAAGGAGGCGCTATGGTCCTTGCAGACACAGGAGTGGTGTGTATAGATGAATTTGACAAGATGCGGGATGAGGATCGCGTTGCAATTCACGAAGCTATGGAACAACAAACTATATCTATTGCCAAGGCGGGAATTACTACGGTACTGAACACACGTACCAGTGTCCTTGCGGCGGCCAATCCGGTCTTTGGTCGTTACGATGAAGGACGCAGTCCGGGCGAGGTGTGTTTCGTCCTTGGGTATGGAATCGAGCTGGAATATTTCTTTACAGAACATTGATTTCCAAACTACTATCCTCTCTCGATTCGATATGATCTTCATTGTAAAGGATGAACATGACGAGATACGAGACAAGGTTAGCTCAAAACCTGCAGTAATCCAGCCAGTTCTGACACATTTTCTGCAGACTATTGCGAAACACGTCCTGAATGTTCACATGAACAGACCTAATCACCTCACAGACGAGAATGGTGAAGGAGAGTTACCTTTGGACAAAATGAAGCGATACATTGCTTATTGCAAACAGTAAGATATCTTGTCTGCGCATCTGTGTTATCGTTGAAACCTTTGCAGGAAATGTGCCCCCCGACTATCTTCCGAAGCCCAGGAGATGCTCAGCAGTCATTTTGTTAGTCTACGGAAACAGGTCCAGCAGGTGGAACAGGATAACGACGAGCGAAGCTCCATACCTATCACCGTTCGTCAACTTGAAGCGATAATCCGTATATCAGAGTCCTTGGCGAAGATGACACTCGCACCTGTTGTGCAAAACCATCACGTAGAGGAGGCTATACGATTGTTCAAGTTCTCTACCATGGATGCCGTGTCCGCAGGTTCTGCCGACGGTCTCTCGCGAGGAGGTCTGAATGAAGAGATGACGCGTATAGAGAAGGAGCTGAGGAGACGTCTACCTGTCGGGTGGCGAACTAGCTACCAGAGTCTCATCAAGGAGTTTGTTACGCAGCAGGGCTACTCCAGCCATGCACTTGAGAGGACGTTGTACATCCTAGAGAAGCGGGAAGTGATTCGGTTTTCCGGACAGGTGGGTGTTAAATAGTGCCGTTTATATCAGGTCTAACAGTGTTCTTCGTGATCACAGAAAAAAGTCGTCCATAGGTGCGCAACGTCATTGTATTTTCATTCTTGATACTGATTTTGCTTCATACAGGGTTGGAGTATAACCTGGTGCTGTGGCGTGATCAACTGGATCGAATGTATGATTAATTTATATCTTGTGTACTATTTGTGTTGTTTGTATCGCACTACTGTTATCGGATTCAGTTGACACGGTTCTCTGCAGAACAATGGTCCAGTCCTCTATGTAAATTGGCTACTAATCAACAGTGGTTGCCGCTGGTTATTAGGACTTAGGAGCACCGACGGGAAACGACTCAGTTAGAAATTGCGTACTGTCGAAGAACATGACAGGAAAATTAGAGAACGCGGTAAAGCCCTCTAACAGTATCTTCCCGAAGGTTCAGCAGAATAAGAATTTTATGAGAAGGGGTGTCACCACGGAAACGCATCACTGAGGGGGAAAGAATAACATACCCTTCAGGGTACTGTAAAGCCAAGCCTATTCAACCAAAATCTTAAGCGACGAGTTACAACTTACAACAGTGAGGACTGATTCATTCCAAGAGTCAACAAAACCGAGGTCAAGTGACAACCTACAAAAAGGACTTTAGCCCACCGCGAGGGTCGAACTCGCAGCCTTCAGATCCGCCTAGGAGTTATAAGAGTCTGACGCTCTATCCGATTGAGCTAGGCGGGCCATGCACAATTGTTCATTATTACCATATTTACTCATAGACAGAAGTCAAGACATTACATCACACTTCTTACCATCTCAAACCCTCATTATCATCGACGATGATGAGCGCCATGGATACAGACGAAATCTCTGTGGTACTCCCATCCACAACGACATCGGGTCTATCGATATCTTTGTAAAGGCGGTTTTGACTTACGCTTCAATGATTGACCTTGTCTGTTAGGCATCCCTTACCGATTTTGAATATTTCTGAACATTTGACGCGACGGAAACTACAAACAAACACCTCTACTCCGTTCAGTGAGTCGTATGTCTCGTCTCGATGTTGCGAGAATATACTCGAACTTTGTTGCAGTTCTTGGAGCCCTGCTGGGCACTCAGAACGGAAGAGATGTAGAGATCGTGAATACGTTTGAATTGGCTGTGGAAGAGGATGGTACTACAGTGGATCATTCTTTCTTGGTATCGCGGCGTGACCAGTGTACGTGAGCCTCATTTAACAGGATGCGTCATTGCTTAAATGCATGGCGTTTTATAGACAAGCAAGTCTTTCCCTCGTTGGAATTCATCGGCTGGTACACAGTGGCTCCCGGACCATCTTCGCGTCATATCGCACTTCATTCACAAGTGCGCACCTTGATCCTTCTGCTTACACTTATCTTACCAAGGTAATAGTTCACAGGATACTGCTCGACGCCTCTCCTTCTCCTCCTTCAATCCTCCAGTAACATCTCCACTGGCTCCGATGGCAATCAAACACTTCCTTTCAAAGCCTATGAGCCAACGATCGAGATTAGGGACCGTCTGTCTCGTCCAGTCTTCATTGAGGCGTCGTACAATGTAGAGACAGGTGAAGCCGAACGGATCGCTGTCGACTGGACTGCACGCGGTGGCGGTAGTGGCACGAGTTGTATGTTTTTGTTCCCTATGTTGGCTCTCTAATAGTGAAAATTTCTGTAGTGGAATCACATCTACAAACGCAGCGAGCGGCTGTCAAAATGCTCCATGACAGAATCGTCATCTTGGTTCACTATGTTACAGAGGCTTTAGCAGGTAGGGTGAACCTCGTTGGTGTTTTCCTCTTATTGAACGCATTCCTGCCTAGGCACAGCGCCTAAGGATCAAGCTATTCTTCGATCCATCTCAGCGTTGGTAGCCTCACTTCCTGCAACAGAAAATAAAGCATTCCGCGAGGAATTTGATACGGTCGGAGGTTCTACTATATTCTGCCTTTACATCGCTGATAGTAGGATCGGAGTAGGAATACGAAGATGTTCAGATCACAGCTTTTCTGTCGTCTTTGACCAAATCAACCAGCATTTTGAATGATGTGCGTCCCACACCGTGCTTCACCGATTTCAGTCTGAATGACGTTCTGGATTTTAGCTCGTTGATAAACATATCATAATCACAGCCAGTCGAGAGGATAAGATGGGGGCCCGCCGAAGACCTATAGGCAGAATGCCGATGGCAGAATGGCATTGAGCTCAGTTAGACCCGTAGAAACCATTATCACACTCATCGCGTATTTGCTGTTACGACTTTCCGAACTGCAAAATTGTATCCATCGTGACCTCTGGTAGATCTACGCTGCGAAGTACCGGCACAAATTCTTTCCAGATTCCTAGCCCGCTCATGGAGCTTTCCAATAATTGGAAAGAAGGCAGGCTACCTACATCAGACCATTTAGGATCACAAGCTTAAAGAGTACTACATTTGTATGGCCGTCTGGCGAAATGGCATCGCGTCTGACTACGATTTGGAGCTTAAAATCAAGAATAATCAGGAGATTGTAGGTTCGACCCCTACGTCGGTCATTTTTGCCCTCTTTGAGGAGTGTTCTCACTTTGTCAATGTTATATTGTACTCATATGTATTCAGAAAATTCTACGTGGAAAGCTCAGTCAGAGGTAAGCTCGGTCACTAACCGGTAGGTTACCGGTGTATAAAAGTGCGTGATGAGAAACGGCATCCGGCGATCAGTCTTTCGCCACTACCACCACGATGCGTCAAGGCCGTCATGACGAGCACAGTAGCAAGGAGTATCGTAGAAATGGTGAGGCGTTTTATGTGAGACGGATGACGAGTGCTCACATCCGACCTGATGAACCTTTGCGCATGACCCTCGACGCTGTTTACCTGGCAATCCTACATGCTCAAAGACCACTCCCGCTCTAGGTCTCTAGGAAGAGAAAAGGAAAGGCGATATCATTCACCCGATGACGAAGCACATGTTACGCGCTCTCGACATCAACTACGAGGGGAAAGCAGTCAACGCAGATATGTTGTACCAGCGAAGTCTCCCGAAGGTGACCGTAACACGAGAGGTCGAGACCGGCATTCCAAAGACATATCTAAGCACCATAGAGATTCTTCTGTGAGCATGTGCAAGCCCGTTTCTTCCGTGTGGATTCTGACGCATCCTTGTCAAGCGGACGCCTGTGCGTCATTTTCCTATCAGCTCGCGTGGAGAAACATTGTTTTGACCTTCAAAGTGGAAACTATTGTCATTATAGGAGCATGAACATCGTCGACGCAGCCGTTCATCTGAATCACACTCTTCCTTCTCGAGTGAAGACCACAAGAAACGCAGGCGTAGTTCACGCTCTAGGTCACCTCGTCGAAGGCAAGATAAGGATTCGCGAAAGCACAAGGACAAGGACTATGAAAAGAATAGGGAAAAAGGGGAAAAGCAAAGGCAAAGGATCGAAAGAAGGACAAAGACAAGGAGGAACGGAGAAGTGTCCTAACGGGCAAAAAAGTTTTTCCTTTATTCTTCTTAGCGCCCATTAGATCTCATTCTTGTCCCAGATCAAGTTGAAAGTCAGAAAAGAGAAGGGGGACGACGAACGGGAAGCTAATAGGAAGGATCTTCTACAGTTTTTGAACTCGACGTTCGAATGAACCATGCGCATCATTAGTATGTTATCTAAATATCTACAGTAGCCATACAGTGCTATCTAAGCGTCTCTTCGCCTTATGCATTAAATAAAGTACTACAAATGGGTATCGAAAGAATTATGCAACAAAGAATAGATTAGAATGCTCTCCAAATAGATGTTACACATGATGAATAAAATCTAGTTGTTAGTTCGCCATTCCTAACCAAGGTCTTCCTGATAAAAGAAGCATGGGCGCATGAAAGCAAAATCGTGGCAGCAAGACGTCAAACCTTTAGATTCTTTTGCACCATTATAATAGATGATGATCGCCTTATATTTGTCTTGATCTTCTTCCAAAGCCCGCGTTGTGGCGAAGAAGTAGATATGCCCAGTTTGGACTTGACGGGCACCGATGACGGCGGTATGATAGCGGTGAAGATAGGTGGAGATATCTCTTTGACTGGCTGGCTAGTCTTCGGCTCCGCGTTCCCATGAACAAATAACGGGGACGTAGAAAGCCCGATCTCGGGAGAGGTGCTGGTACTGGCACCTTGGAAATCCGATCCGGAATGCGAAGAAGACGCGGGAGATTGTACCAAATCACTTTCTGGTCCTGGTCCTTCTACGAGCACCGGACGTTCTGGTTCGTCCGCAACAGAGTGACTGCTTCTCCTGCTGCTTCTGCTTTCTCGATCCACTTCATCCTCCATTTCGAAAACCACATTGTCTCCTTGGTTGTCTGACTCATCAGGTAGACGACGGCGCGGAACGCTTCCAAGAGAGTGGATGGTAGTGGCAAAATCCCAAGAATCAATAGAACGATGAGTTTGGGTGTTTGAGATTACCCGACGTTCTTGCCGATGGGCCAGAGGTGGTAGATTCTCTGGAAAGATACTATAAGTCGCATATTGAATAATCAAGGACGATAAACTTGCTCAGTATAGTAGCGATCAGGTAGGTCGGCTTCTTTGCTCCTTTGAAGAATTGTGTTTGAAGGAGCTGTTCCGCGGTTGGCCTAGGAAGTAATGAGTGAGTGAAGAGTGCCGTCGAAGATTACAAACACACCGTTGTGACGGGTCTTTGACGAGACAGCTTTCCAGCATTTCTTGAAAAGCACGGGAGTACTTATATGTGCCACCATCCCTATCCAGTGTCGGGGGTGCCTCTTGAATGCTACGCTCCCACAGAAATAAGGATACTGAACAATCAAATAATATACACGCACGTTTTCAACAATACCTTTTGAGGTGACTCCCGGGACCTGGGTGGTCGACCCTGGGTAAGTTCGAGGGCGGTGATACCAAAGCTCCATATATCTGCAGAAGAGTCGTAGTTCTTCCCCTGAATCAGTTCGGGCGCCATCCAGCATGGCTAGTGGCTCATGAAGTAAAGATACAGCCAAAGATATCTTGCACGTACTGTACCAACGAAAGACTTCCGTTTTCCTATCTTTGGTCTTGAGTGTGCTGCGGTTGGTTCGACAAGTACGACACGTCTGGTGGAGCCATAGGAACTGTGTCCTGACGCCGCACTGCCTTGACTATCATGAGAACTATTCTGCTGACGCGGAGAGGCGGCGTAGCGTGAGGACACGGTCTGTAATTTCGAAGTGCTGGGAGAAGTGTCCTCAGCGAGGTTTGCGGCGACACCGAGATCACCTAAAAGGACCGTTCCATCGTCGTCGATTAATAGATTTGCTGCCTTGACGTCGCGATGAATGAACCCGTTGATGTGAAGATAGCTAAGGCGAAGAGTAAGTGATTTGCGGGACAGCAGTCAGAGTGAAAGAGGCACTTGAGACCGAGGAGAGCTTGACGAAGGATGCAACGGATAACGTCTTCCTCCAAACCTGCAGGCCAGCCATAGTGCATGACGTCGGCGGCACTACCTTTATTCATGAGACGCAATGCGATGAAGAGCTTGTGGCCGTCCATCCACGAACCACGGACACGAAGAACGTTTGGATGCTTGGACAGGGACATCAGAGTTGTCTCTCGCTGCAGAAGTGACAGCGAATGAGGGGGAAGCGAGTCGAGATCCAGAACCTTGAGGGCGCATGGAATTGCAGATGAGGATCCTTGAGGCCTGTACTTTGCTGAATAGACAATTGAAGATGCGCCGAATCCTATTGGAGAGCCGATAGTGTAGTCCTCAGAACGGTCACTGGAGGCGAATGAGCCAGAGCCAGGGTACACGGACGAGATGGTTACCTGTACATGTCCCAGTGGTCCTCGACCGCGCCAATGAACTCGGTGGGCGCCATGTCCGGTCTCTTGGATGTCGGCGACATCACAGGAAGCCCACTCACGATAATGGTGATCGTAATAACTTAAAACAGAGAAGCACTGCTGATGCACGTGCTTACGAACCGCCGGCTCGAGCGCCGACGTCGATGCGCGCCTTGCTCGTCGGACGCATCGTCGCGTCCAAGGCACCGATAACGCCCTGTTTACCAAAGCCCAGCATTCTTGAAGACAACAACGAAAAGGTGGAGCAAGGGTAACAGTTTTCACGTTCGGCATCGCCGCCACAGTGGCGTTTGGCAACAGCAGACAACGTCAGCTAAGCGCTGGCAGAGATTGCCACCATGAGATGATGACGTCCATATGCTAGGTTGCGATAAACCGGGCACGAGGGCTACCCTGAGAGTAGTTATCAACTACGCAGAGATAACGGGCAATATCACTGTGCTGCCACCAACACAATATTCAGATGCAGCGCTCCATTAAGGCAGCACCAGCACGTCCCAGAACATTCCAAAAAATTTAATAAAGACCATTGCAAGCGGCAGATGTCGAGTCAATAGTTTGTTGGCGCAGGGATACTCCTGTGGCGGTGCAGCGTCGGAAAATGCCGCCAATCACAGACCTTCTGTTCCGAGAATACGCCACCGCTCAACATCCTCTCCGTCCATCTCACTCTACCCTCCGTCTCTCATTTCTCCCGGCTCCCTCCTCTGTGCTGTCGATGGCTCCACAGCAGCCTCCAGCCAGATACTCATACGTTGAGACCTCTGCAGGCCCAAAAATCCTTCCCGTAGAGGAGCCCTCGTGCAAGGATGAGGAGAGCCCAGCAGATTACAATGCAGGAGGATATTTACCTGTCAAACTCAGCGACACCTTCAAGAATAATAGGTACAAGGTTATCAGGAAGCTTGGGTGCGTACTCTTTACCCTGGTTCCTTTTCGGTTTTCCTAATCTTGCGCAATCGACAGATGGGGTCATTTCTCGACTGTATGGCTCGTAAAAGACACCCAGTAAGTATTTCTATCTCGCTTGGTTTGCTCTTTTATCACCACTTTCCCCTGCAGTCTTCACCGTCACTCGGCTCTCAAGGTCGTCAAGTCTGCTGGACGATACGCAGAAACAGCGAGAGACGAGATTAAACTCCTCTCTCGGGTCGCATCGTTTTCCCCAGCTCATCCAGGCCGCCAGCACATTGTCTCCTTTCTCGACTCCTTTTCTCACCAAGGACCCGAAGCCTCCCATATCTGCATTGTATTTGAGCCTCTTGGCGAGAATCTGCTGGCGTTGATAGAACGTAACAAGAAGCATGGAGTACCGCGGGCCCTTGTCAAGGTCATCGCCAAGCAAACTCTGCTCGGTCTCCAATATCTTCATGATGAATGCGACTTGGTTCACACCGACATTAAGCCGGAGAATATTCGTAAGTAGCTCCTCTATCGAGTCACTGCTATTATCGGGATACTGATCTAAACCCTTGTAGTAATTTCCATTCCCGACATTGAAGCTCACATCTCCACCGAATTATCTCAATCTCCCTCCCCGACCTCTCGTCGGGTCGGTGTCCCTCTACCGTCTAATATCCGCTCGGGTTTTGCCATACGGAATCAACGGTCTACCCAGCCGCTCCGTTCAAATATTTGACTCTCAGCCCCTCTCAAGTCCCTCACGGAGCGCTGGCATCCATGGAT